TGTAGGGAAGGCGATTAAAAAGAAAAGAAAAAGGAAGGAAGGAAAGAACAGAACAGAACAGAACAGAACAGAACAGAACGCATTTTCCACCAACCTTGATTTTTGACTTCAGCAAATTCCTTGTTGTATTCTTCGAGGGTTTCCCTAAGTTTCTGGTTCTCTGTTTCAATATCATGCAGGCGCTGCACTTTGAGCTGGAGCTGCTGCCCAAGATCCAGAGCTGGCACCGGATCTGCACAACAGGAAAACACACGTTACCCTACTCTGGACACAAACATGCTACGGATATGGTGCCCCAGAGGCTCAAAGCAGGTCTCCTGGGGTGCCCAGGAAGTCAGCCTCTGGCAGACTTCCAAGAGGCCAATCTCAAGTCGTCTGTGGTCTCACCTCCTTCAACAAAGGCCCCCTGACTGGCCGACAGTGCTTCTTTGCTGCTTCACAAAAGAAGGACTCACTCCAGAGTGCTCAACTTGTGAAAATGGGGTGGGATAGCAATGGGATTCACTGGCATTTACTGATTGCGTTGGCTGGCACAACACTAATGATTTTCATCCTTTGATCTGATAAGAAAAGAAATCCCTGTGGCAGCAGCAAGGGACGGGGCCCCAGGAAAATCAGCCAGATACCTAGAGTGGTGCCTGGAGGATGGACGGTTCATGAGTGGGTGTCTATAATTTACAGTTTCCAATCATTTTAAGAGGCTGAAAATAACACCTGAGACTCTGAGAACATCACACACTTCAGAGAACACTTTGATGGACTTTTTTCATTTAAGCCTTGCAACAGTTAGGAGAAAGAGAGGGGAGACTTGTACCACACTCCTTTCCCAGAAGCAGAAACTCAAGCTCAGGGAAGGTAAGTGACTCACTCAAGGTGACCCAGCAGCAGGATAATGGGCAGAGAATGCAAACCAGTGACTATGAACTCCAAGTGATCTATCCTTTACAAGGAAGGTTGCCCAATAAAGCAAAGGAAACAAACACCTGGGCTTTATAAGAACCCATTCTCTTTTAGGACAGGATCACCCTTTATCGCACTCCTCTTTTACTAATGAAGGATGTTCGGAAGTCGAGGTTAGCAGCTGCTAATATGCAGACTGGAGAAGCACAGCTGGGAACTAGCATGACCACTGTCATAGGCTAGAGAGTCAGCCAGTCAGGAGGCCACCGTAGTCCGGATCATAACACAAAGAGTGGAGAGCCACACAAGCAGAACAGCATTTGGGCTAGTTATGTGAAGTCTGGAGGCTAATTCAATGTGATATCTGCCTTCAGATTTACTTATAACAAACTGGATTAAAAAAAAAAAAAACCACAACACTGGATTTAAACCAAAATTAGAGAGTGCAGGTGAGGAATTTATGATACTGACTCTTGGCCATTACCATTAATTCAGCACACATTAAATGTACTTCTGCGTTAGCTTGATCTTTACTTTTCCTTCTATGAAAAGGCAATTACAGGGAACTAGCAGTTAGCGTAATGGCTATGTCGCTGGACTCCCACGTAGTCGACCGCGATTCGCGTCTCGGACCCGGTGGCTTAAATCTCACGCTGGGCGTGTGTGCGTGCGTGCCCAAGATCCCGAGAGGAGAATGGAGGAGAAGGGATTGCGGCGTGACCATCCCCCCTGGGGGGTGATTTCTCGCTTTCTGTCTCTATGTCTGTCTCTGTCTGTCTGGCGAGCGCACGCGCCCTATAGCGAAAACCTCTCCAAAAAAAAAAAAGGCAATTACAGCCCACCTGCTGGGCAGCAGTGGGCCCCTTCCTTGGAATTCTCTGGCTCCATCAGGACAGAGAAATACCCAAGTCTACTGGACTTAGAAAGATTATTGAATATATTCCTGGTCTGGGCGCCAGTATCACTTATGAGATGGCTGCAGAGATTTAGTCTCCTGCCGAGGAATGCTAAACACCGAGTACCGCAGATCAACAGGGTATATATTCAAGAGCTCACTTAATTTTCAAATGCCAGAGCCATTAATTTTACAGACCACCCTTGGTTCCTAGAAACCAGGGCTTGGTCTACTCCGCCTTGGTTAGCGCGTCTGCCAGGAGCCAGGAGCTCTTGGAGATGCCAATGTCTTTGCAGAGTTTACAAAATGCAGGCACTGGGATGTGTCGGGCACGGCATCTGCAAATCCTGTACGCTGGGGTTTAATGCCCATGCCGTCCATCACACAAAACTCCTGGCTGCTGGGCATTCATTCTGTGTGTATACAGAGTTTATGACCCCATCACTTGCTTGTTTATGGCTTTTCATTATTATTTTAATCAGCATTGAAATATTTATGTTAAATTAGATTTTAAAAGCTATTTTGGGGAGACAGTTCTTTGTAAGCAGAGGGAATAACATAAAAAAAAGAATTCTTCAAAACATTCCAGGTGCATTTTTTTTTTTTTTTTAATTTCAGTATCTTCCCAGGGTACCTTGCCAACCTTCCCCCCTATCTTTTTGGCCTAATGCTGGACAAATGGTCTGAAGGACATGAACAGTATACCCTCAGCCTCATTCATATAGAACTACGATTTGAACTTGATAACAAGGTCAGGGAAGGAGGGGCAAGAAGGTGAACCATTGTGCTTGCATTCTATTACCATTCATTCATGTAGGCTTTCTAGCACAATTGTCAGTACTAATTATACAGTGAATGTGCTTACCAGAGTCACAGAGAGAGACAGAGAAAGTAAGAAATCACCCCCTGGGGGGTGGTCATGCCTCAATCCCTTCTCCTCTATTCTCCTTTTGGGATTTTTGGGCATGTATGCACACATGGCATGGCCAGTATGAATTTCAAGCCACCGGGTCTGGGACTCGAACTGTGATCCATCACGTAGGAATCCAGTGCCTTAACCACTACGCCACCTGCTGGCCCCAGTATAAACTATTTTTAAAGAGCTAAGCTGGTAAATGGCCCCCTTTCTCTAAAATTTCTGTCCAATACTGTTTTCAATCTATTCCTTTAAAAGGTAAGGACTCACTATGTCTGTTTCAAATAAAAAATAACTTCCCTCATGCGATTCAGCCAGGAATCTAGTGACATATAAAAATAACATGTATACTATTGAATGAATAGTAACTGGACCTTTAGACAAATTTTCAGTTATATAGTAAATGAAAATTCTGGCATGCTCATAATTATTCATTATGGCATGTATATTTAATTTAACACAATTAAAGGTTAATGCCTAAGTAGCAAAACTGGTCACAGAATAAAGAATGAGCTGAATGTTCAAACATCTCTACGCATTAAACTTCAAACTTTACTACAGTAACAGTTGAATGACTAAATGCCTAGAGCATTTGAATATTGTTTTGGGATATGTAAAAGGCATTGCTAAAGTACCTCTTAGGCTTAATTTTTATTACTTGTATTAAAGGAACAGCTAATTACCACATGACAATATAATGACTCTAGCATGTTTGGGCTAGAGACCAAAACAATGAATTTCAGCATGCCAAACCCCAACCTGCATGTTAATCTGGGGAAATCATAGCTTTTTGTCTTGTTAATGATTTCCAATGCCATTTAAACCTCACACAAGTATTGTTAGGTCTTATTCCGCACGTCAGAAGCCTCCAATCTCAGCAGCTCAATTAGGGAATTGTCTGGGGGAGGCGAGAGAACACACCCATATGAGAAACAGGAACACGCAAAGTCCTATAAACCCCCACTTCCCAATCGTCTCCAATTCAACCTCCTTTTTTTGCCGACACCATCCACCCAATATGACACACACACTTAAAAAGTATTTTACAATCACCTAAATAGTTAATTCCTAAAACATGCTGAGATATTAAAAAGCTCATTACGTAACCTAAGACTCAAACAACCTCATTATAACAAACAATAATAATACCTGTATTTATCTGGCACCTTCTTGTAAGCATAGGTACCATTATCTCATTAATTCAAACCACCACAGTTAGGGCTGGGGGAGGTGCTCTGCATCTCACCCATGAACAGGGAGAGGAAAGAAGTCGGCCAGACCAACAGGTCTGCAAAAATCCTAATTAAGAATTCTGCTGCCTGAACCAGCAGCTAGCTAAGCTATACTGTCTCCTCAAGTACTAATTTAATAAGTATTTGCTAAAGAACTACTCGTCGCAGGAAAGGCTCAGGTTAGACACTGGGATGGACACGGGACCAAGTCAGCAGGGACTGGCCTCATCGTAAAGAGAAACCATGTGCCAAAATAGCAAAGGTTAAAGCAAGAGAGGAAATGCTGAAGGTTGGATGCACAGACCACTCCTAGAGAGAGAAACTGGAAAAAGTTTAGTTGTTGTCACAGGAGAGGTGACACTTAAAGGTGATACCTTACGTCCTCTAAAGGACACACAGATTTTAGACCTGTGAAGACTGGGGCCAGTCAGTTGATGGGTGATGCAGCAGACGAACATCTGGGAGCAGGAGTATGTGGCATGGCTAACAGAATAATTCTGCTTGACTGTCAGCAGCTCATCTGCACATCCTATGCATCAGTGCTGTTCCAGGTGCTGAGGGGACACAGCATGAACAAGACAAATCTTTGCTCTCAAGTCTTGACATTTCAGGCAAATAGAGAGATAGACAAAAAGGAAATCCAAATCAAACACTTTCGAGTACTGCCATGTGTGCAGAGAGGAAACAGAATGTAGAGACTCAGAGTCATGGGGAGGGAGGGACGTAGGTTCTAGAGACAAGAGAGCAGGGCAAGCTTCTCCAAGGAGGTGCACTGGGACTGAGGTCTCAACGGTTAAGAGGAGACATGGTGAGGATTCACTCAAGGCAGTGGTAACAGCCTGTGGAACAGTTCAGAGGTAGGTGTGAATGTGGTATATTCATTCAAGACACAGAGAAAGGCTGGCATGGCCACAGGAGGGAAGAAGAGGGGTCAGAGAGAAGAGGTCTGTGCTCAAGAACTTAAAGAAAAACAAAATGGTAAGGGGAGAAATAGAAGACTTTTGTAAGGAAGAATCAAATTGAATTCTAGGGCTGAAACTATAATGTCTGAAATGAGTCAGAGGAAGAGTTTGGATTCCATTGTGCTCCTGTCAAGAAGCATCAGAAGAAAAAGATTCCTGCAAGATGAGCCACTGAGGCATGAGGGGGAAAAAAACAAAAACAAAAACAAAAAACTTGCAGCATTTTGAACCACAAAATGGTGTGCTGGTTTCCTTCCTCTTTATAAATGCCAGACAGCATGTGCACATGTGAGTGACAGAACATGCGGGCACATCCTCCAAACTGGG